CCCCCAGCCGCTCGCTCACTTCCCCCTGGTGGGATGGGGGAGAGAGTCGGAAGGGTAAGAGTGAGGAAACTCGTGGGTTGAGACAGAGACAGGGAAAGCAAAAGCCGCACACGCAAGCAAAGCAAACCCGGGCATTCATTCCCCACTTCCCACGGGCAGGCCGGTGTTCAGCCATCTCCAGGAAAGCAGGGCTCCATCACTCATAACAGTGACTTGGGAAGGCAACCACCATGACTCCCAACGTACTGCCTTCCTCCTCATTCCCCCAGTTCTATACACTGAGCATGACATCATACGGTATGGAATATCCCTTGGGTCAGTTGGGGTCAGCTGTTCCAGTCATGTCCCCTCCCAGCTTGTTGTGCCGCCCCAGCCTCCTCGCTGGTGGGGTGGGGTGAGAGGCAGAAAAGGCCTCGACTCTGGGTAAGCCCTGCTGAGCAGTAACAAACTCATCCCTGCGTTACTAACACTTTTTTCAGCACAAATCCAAAACACAGCCCCATACCAGTTACTGCAAAGAAAATTAACTTTACCCCAGCCCAAACCAGCACAAGTACAAACTTAAAAATATTCTTATTATAGGAGTCATAGGACCAGGTGAATTATGAATTGCACTAAATGAGAAACTGGTCATTCACGTTGCTGCAGTGAAGTAGCTACATCACAAGGTAGAGCAACCCAGCTAGTTCAGTCTGCCACAGTCAACCAAGGTTTCAATACTGCACACACCTCCCAAGAGCTGGGACCCATGCACTCGTTCACAGTTCCCATGGGTTGAAAAATACAGTTCTAGATAGACTGTAAGCTGCAAATTACAGCATCAACAGGAGCACAGCCAAGAAATTTTTATAACCACCCAATGCATCTTCTCACGAACACAACACGAGCCATGCATTAGGCTTGTGTTTTATACCTCTCCTTCTCATGCAGCAGTTGAAGAGGACGCAGGTGGGTACTGCAGTTGCCACCACTGCTCTTGGGAGTGGCAGTTCCAACCAGGAAAAGTAAAATGAACAATAATAATACAAACAGTTCATTCAACTGTTCCAAGTGTTCATTTGAACATTCATACAAAGAGTTCATTTCAAAGAGGGACAAGTTTTTCCATTCAGTCATCTGGAATCCTTAGTTTCTGGAAGATAACAATTTCCAGCTTATTTGTGTTAAATTACAACACACTAAAATACCATCTCTGTTCAATGCCACACTATAAGCAAGTTTGTACGCTAAAATTTGAACAAACAAGTTCAAAAGTCAGATTGAGTAGTTCTCAACAGGGACTCTGAAATAGTTTGAAAGTGACCTTGGGCCACAAACACCCACGCTAGGCACTACGGGGGGAGCATCAGCAGCCTCTAAGGCCTAATGTGCACGTAAACAAGCTCCCATATCTTTATTCCACACAGGACCATCAGCATATAACGTTGACTATACCACACCTTATATGTCAAGATTATTGAGCAGAATTATGGTTAGCAATTCTTTATCTACGCTGCATGCTGAGAAACTACACTGAGAATTTGTTGGCTTTTCTACATTTATATTGTTAACAAAGAGTCATAGTGCAATTTCACAAGCATTTCAGTCCACAGTAAACATGGATCAAGTGACCCCAACTCCTTTTTTCCAACCTACAGTTCCTGTAGTCACATCATGCTCTCAGTTGTGCCGGTACAACCGTTTATGCCTTATGGACTGAACTGGGCAAGGGACAGGGATAGGTTCAAAAGACACAGAAATAATTTAGTTTGTTGTCAAAGAAATAAACCTACATATTAGGAAGCTTTTCCTTCTTTCCAGAAGAAGGTAAGCATAACACACAGTACTTTGGGAAATTTGAGAAGTTCTAGTAACAAGGAACAAAAATTACTCCTAATGATAAAGAGATGATTTAAGTAACTTCATAATGGAAATTTCTTTCCAGAAGGAAGATAAGCCACAGTGAATACAAAATATTTTGAATGTATTATGATTAGCTGGAAAGCAATACAGTTCCAAAACTCTAAAGGTCCACCAGAACAAAATAAACTTGAGTATTAAATTCATAGAATCATAGAATCGTTCTGGTTGGAAGAGACCTCAAAAATCAAGTCCAACCTTCTGCCCAATGCCACCATGCTCACTAAATTCAGATCCCTTACTACATATGCAGTCTGACCATTTGTTCAGTTACACAAATTAAAGTAATACTAGCAGTGAGGAAATAAATCCCTTACAAATTTGTGATTTATTAGAATGATTATAAAAACAGGAAAAAAATAATAATCAGTCTGTGCATTTCTTCTGTCTCCAGTTAGATGAACAGTGTCTGAAAACTACGTATTACCAATGATAAACTCTGTTGCTGTAACTTCACTTAGCAACTCATACATTTTAACTAAAGAAAAAAAGGTTTCTTCCAGATAGATGCATCAAGTGTTGTACTCCAACTGCAAATATATTTTGCTATGTTTATTTCCAACTCTCCAATAGAAAGTCTTTAATAAATGTGCGAAGGAGAAAAAACAAAGCCACATCCGAAGTATGGTCAAATCTGAAAGTTTACAAAATGAAGGGAAGTATACCACTGTAAATGAAAAAGCAGTGATGAAGTATAACATTTGGAAGAAAAATAAAAAGAGCATAATAAAAAGAATAAATAAAACATTTGAAATTTATGTTCCAGAATATTTCCCATACTGTTCTACTAACTCAGCGAGTGAGCTTTGTACTGCAGGTATCCCTTTCCATGCTTACAGAAATTTTTTGAAAGGCCTATCAAACATCTCAAAATAATTACTAGAGAGGAAAGTGCTTCCAATTTCAGATTAAAGCATAAAAATTACAGATAGTAAGATTTGATATGCTTCAAACTTTGCTTCTTTTAGAAAAGAAAAACGCAAGAGAGATTAGAGGAGCCAAAACAGTATCTAGGATATTGCTCTCTCCACAGAAGTTTCCAAACTGGTATGCCTAGTGTCCTGACCAAGTCAACAATACTAAACCTATTCCCCAATTAAGTTTCAGGCTCATGGTCTCATATCAGATTTTCCATTACAGTCAAACTAAGAAGTGTGAATTAATCAAAGGGCAATCATGCACTTCAAAGTTTTCATAAAATAAACACAGTATTGTGAAGCTGTTAGTAGCAAATCCATAGTTAAGACTGAACTGAGCTTCTTTAAAAACAGTAACATCAGTTTCAACACCGTTCAATCACTTCCCACTTCAGAAGGCAACTAGAATTTTAATGCAGTTTCCAACAGAAATGTCTAAGCCTCTTAGATTTTGATCAGTTTTTTTCCTGTCACTTGCATAATTTTCACTCCCTGAGAATAAGTCAACAGAACTATCGGTATTTAGAGCATCTGAATCCTGGAAGCACTAAAAAACAACAAAAAATTCCACCAAAGATCAGGGTATCACCATGGTGGCAGAGTTCAAACACTGTGTTTTTGACTTTCAGTTTTCAAAGAATATCATATGTTCTTGAGAATATTATATTTTCATCCTGACATCTCAGCGTTATTTACAAGTCACCAATAACTGGATAGCAAATTTATCAAAGCCTGAAATATAAAGAATTTATGACACACAGAGATATGTGCACTGTCAGTGGTTAAAAACTGGATTTGAAAAAGAACGTGGTGGAGAACTGAGGAATCTGCCAGTACAATTAAGCGTGGACAGCAAGGCACGCGAAATGACATCGATAGGAGCTGTAAGCAATTGTCTGATGTCCTCAGATCTTTCCTTCACAGGAAACCCACTTAAGCAACTGTAAGTTAGCATGTTTCTTAGGTGCCTGAAACAACAATGCATAAACAGGAAAGGCATCCAATAAGTAGCAGAATTCTTTCCCCATTCCAGAACGGGCATGCTATCTTTCTTAAAAGTCTATCCACCAAAAAGCAGAAAACATCAGTAACAACATTTATCTCAGAATGTTGTTCTTATGATTTCTCTAGAGAATCTCCTTTTTTTTTTTTCCTTCTTTCTTTCTTTCAAACTCTGTTTTCATTTGCTCTCAAGATACTTTAGGCTTCCTTAGTATTATAAGTAAACATGCAAACTGTACTTACTAAGCATATTTACATTAATTTATAATTACTTGAAGTTAGAGATTCAGAAAGAAAATTATGTTCCTCAAACTAAAGAGATTACTGCAGATGTTAGGAAAAAAAGAAATCACTACAAGAAACAGAATGTCTGGTCATCTTTCAGCCTAGACTGCATGTTCTTTGACAAAATAACTGTCATTTTGTTAAGTGCCAAGAACACTGACATGGCTTTTAAAAATGGATTACCAGTTAATTTGAAAGTAGGAGGCAATAATCAAAGTAAAAGACATTTCTCCAAAGAAAGGTATCATCACTGACCTTTGCAATAGCAACCGCTTGCTGAGGGTAATACAGGGAGGTACCAATACCCATGAGACCTGCGGGATACACTAACTTCTTCTCCTTTGAGCCTGTTTCATAACAAAAAAAAAAAAACCAAAAACAAAAACCAAAACATTGTTAGAGTATATATTAACCAAGACAGCTGAATGGCCCTAACCTTTTATTTATAATCAAAATAATTTTATTAAATACAGTTCAGTATATTTTCTGTTCAGTCTTACTGGTTTCTTAAGAAATGTGCTTACTCTGATCCATAATTATTCTTTTCACCTTTTTAAAAGAATATTTTTATTAACATCTTACCATAGTGAAAATTATCTTACAACTATATTTACTGTAGTAATACATAATTTATTTCAGTACTGAATAATGAGGCAAAAGCCACAGTCAAGAGATATTCGAGAGAATTATACCAACTGATACTCTCTTCTAAACTAAAAGGAAAAACTCAGGCAAAGAAAGGATAGAATAGCATTCTTCTGATACATCAAGCAGAACAAGAGACATTCCAATACAAACTTTAAAAAGTTACCTTGACTCACAAATATTGATTCTTCCAAAACTGTTCTTACGAATAATTTTTTCTTGAGTCACTACAACAATTTGCAAAGCATTTGCAAGTACTTTTAAACAAAAGTACTTACAATTATGCTATATGCCTATTGCTCAGTCCCCAACTGAATTTTGAACATTTTCATCAATTTGAACTCTCTAGTCAATTACACAAGTCTAAAGTAATTTAGCTGTCTGAAAAGTTCATCCTCTTATCACAGCTGGCCACAGGCCACATATCCTGGCTGGCCAGTGGCAATACACATCACTGAACCAGTTACGGGGCACGCTGCAGTTTATCCAGTCAGAAAGGAACAGAGGAAGCAGCAGGTACAGGAGAAAACCAAGCAGTACAGGGAAAAAAAGGTCATAGAACAGACGTGCGGGACTGGGGATGCAGTAGTTCCAGTCCTCATAGAACAGCCTGCTCTATGTGCAAAGCCACACGTGCTTCTAATAAAGGAACAATGAATTTTGAGGAGGAAATGCATGTTAGAAGTGTTTTGTGCTTCCACTAACATATGTTCACGATGAGATGAGAAACTTAACAGTAAACAAGAGGCATTCATAAAGTGATGCTGCTAGTCTTGTGAAGAGGGAACTTGGTACCAATCAGCTATAAGAAAACGCAGAAAAGGCAAGCTTCATTGCATCTTTACAACCAGAAAAATTACATTTTGTTGCAACTTCTGGGAACGGGGAAGTCTTCCTCAGTGAGAGCTTATCAGTGTGCCTACAGTATCACTTTAGGAATAAATGTAATAGTTGAAGATATTAATGCCTTACAGCAGGTTGCTACCTGCTGAAGATCCCCATTAGAGGCAAATTTAGGAATACTCCCGTATCCATTCCAGTACTACGCAGCAAGGTGTGATGGTGTGCTTCCCTGCCCCACGCTGACCTTTATTTCCCGTAGCCCTGCTCAGGCGATAACCACCAGTGTCGGTTGTAATGGACGCATCTGGTTGTGGTGGCTGTGTCCGGCTCAAAGCGGATTTGGGGGAGACAGATAACACCACAATAGCCCGGGGCTAATTCAAGCCCCGGGGCTAATTCGAGCCATGCGCCCACCTAACCACAGTGCTGGTCAAGGTCCAACTCAAGCCAAGTTTGGAAGAAACTAACATCTGCAGTCGGTATGCAAATATGACTATGAGTCAATCACCTTACTCCATAAATAGCGGCAAAGCCCAGGGCCCACTGAGCTATCCTGCACGGCAGCAGGTTGCACACCTCTCAAGGTTACGCCTGCCGCAGAGATCCCTAACTCCTTGATACTGAGAGATCCCTTGCTGCAACAGATCCTCAGCAAGTGACTAATAGCATGCTAAACTTCGTAAGCTTCCCTAAGATTGTGTCTTAGATTGATTGTGCACGTATAATCCTTTACACATAAACCGTTGACCAAGTCTGGGACTAGGATTGGATCCAGCTGCATCTAGACTCCTCTGAGAAAGAGTTTAGAAAGCAAGGAGGTCCTCTCTGAACTTCATGACTCAATGGGAGGGTCTCCCTGATGTGTCTGACTTACCCTGTTCTCTATGTAGTAAATAATCAAGTGTACCTTGCCATTGAATCTTGTTAAACCACTGTCACATCTACTATCAAACTTTGTTAAATCGCTGTTTTATATCAATAAACACATTGCTGCTTGTCTCTTAACAAGTGAAGTGCATCACTCCATCCACAACACACGGTTAGAACAAATTATCTTCAACAGCATTTTAAACCAAGTTGGATGACTGCACAATATTCATGTGACTAAACTCCGAATACCGTACTTTCTACTTAGTGGGCAGCTGTATCTTCAAGTGCTATGGTTAGACCTGGAAGATTTATCTGTACCTTCCAAGAGGGCAATTTTTCCAGTAAGACCAAGAGAGAAAGGGATAAAAAAAAGGACATTTAGTTCTAACTTTCTGTAGCATCAAAATTAAGGGGCGCTTCTTTCTACAGTTTGAATACTTTCTGAAAATAGCAGTCAGTATTGTAAACTATAACCAGACACAAAGTTTTAAAATTATGGCTCCCGTCCTAAAAAATTCACAAATCAGACATTTGTATTATGAGGGATTTTTAGTTTTATTAAACTTAGGAGTCTCTAATTTTTCAGATCCAGCACCAAGACTGCACTTTCCCCCTCCCATTTTGCTACTGTTGTAAAGGCTGGAAACTGATCTCATTCATGGTCACATAACTCAAGAAGCAGGAATTTGAAGAGAAAGAACTTCAAATGGGTAAAGTTGGAGACCTTGATTTTCATTTTAAAAAAATCTAAAAAAAAACCAAAGTACTGCTCTCATCATCTTCACTGGAAGATTAAGTATTTTGACGAGTACATATATTCACAGAACACTTTCCATTTCTACATAGCCAAGCACACACTTCCAGGTTGTTCAACACGTACAGGCCCCACAAAGGTGTATTTTATGCAAAGCAAGTCCTCACTAATATTTAAATTCTAGAACTTTACAGTGTCATTACCTACATGTTTTCTTCTTGTGTTACTTTGTTTCTCTATTAGAAATATCTCAATGCAAACACAAAATACTTTTTCCACAATTAACATTTCTTAAAATAACATTTATTTCTATGAAAGCATAAATGGATTAGTTTCTTCAACTACTGTGAGGAAATTAACTGTATCACTTTTCTATAGCACAAAATATGCATATATTTATAGTACACCCAGAGTTCACAAGTATTTTTGCTGAACATCACCAGCTGCAGCAGCTCTGTGCCTGGACACACAATACTTTGAAGGAACTTAAGTATACAACTAATTGTACACATATCACAGCTCAGGAACCTCTGTATTTTACCATAATTTATTCCTCTGTAGTTTTTTCTACAGTGACATGTGATCAAGAACTTAAGTAATTCAAAAGATTTTTTTTTTTTTTAGCCAAAAAAAAAAGAAAATACTTTCCTACTTTTGCTGTAATAAACTAGAACTGGAAAAGTTCAAAGACTAGATTCCAGTAACAAATACAGTATTCACAAACAATAATTGATGGGTATTACACACCTTTCCATGAAGTTTCTCTATAATTGGAGGAACATCGTAGAAACATGCTTGCATAGTTAAGTCAGATCACATGCGTCAATTAAAAATTAGTATCCAAAAAACCATAAATAAATTATTTATCCCTAATCATATCATAAGCAGTTCAAAAGGTTCCCACTTACCTCTAGCAAGAAACAATCCAACAATCCCAGCAAAACCTATCACACCAAGCCTTGGATAAAATCCAGCAGGGGGGTTTTGGAGAAATTCACAGCCCTCTGAAAAGAAGTCAGAACAAAGTGCTTTAATGTAATGTGAAAGTGTTTTTGTGATAAGGAATCATCAATACATGCTGGCAATTGTTACAAAACATAAAGAGTTATCAAAACACATTTAACTATCATGCACATTTTAGATTTGCTGGCATAAAATTCAAAGCCTTTGAGATCTTCTCTAGTGACACATGAATGAAACTGAACATCGTATTGTATTTACCAATTTTCATAGAAGCTTTTGCCTTTGCTCCTGGGCCATCTGTTTTGTTTTGCTCTTTTGCATCACAATTCTCTCTTTTTCAAATTAGTGATAAAAACTTTAGCAAAACGGATTCTTACATTTACATGTTAACAAGAATTAGTTTCAGTAAAAACACTGTACAAAAAACAAATCACAGAACAAAGGAAAGACACAGCATAAACAAAGCCCACTCCAAGATGGGAGTCCAATGGGGGAATGGAAAACTGTGAAAAATCTTCCATGCAAAGGAGTTGAAAAGACCACGACTGTTAAGTTTAAGGAAAAGAGGAGCAGTATTTGAAATAAGCTCTAGATAGCATCCATGCACAGTCCTGATAAGCCTAAGTATGAAAGGATGCTTCCAAAACTAAAAATAAATACAAATTATTTTGGATTAATTCAAAATTCTTGGCAGCTGCAAGGAAGTAAACCAAAATGAAAGGGCATAACGTTACAAACAAAAGACCTGGCGCTTGCAACAAGTAATAAACAGTGCAAGAGGTTTCAGTTACTAAGCTGGGTCAAGCAAACATTACTGTCTAGGAACAAATTTCTTCCTTCTTTTCCTGCATTACTGTCATTTTTAGTGACATCGATCAACATAGAAGCAGGTCTCAGTTTTTAATTGTTTAGAAATGTAGTGTCATAATGACCTACAAAGGAAATTTAAACAGATATACAGCGCAATTAAAGTAGTCTTAAATGCATTAGAAATTATATATATAATGATGCTTAATGGAATTCCCTTTTAACAGAAGATATAGTACAGTCCTGTATTTTGAATTGCTAGTTAAGAAAACTAAACTGATTTACCTCTACCATGCTCAACAGCTTTTTCTAATTTGGGTATAGCTTTGGCATAATGATCCTAAAAAAAAAGAAAAGAAAACAACAGTAAATAGATACCAAGTAAGTAAAATATCAACTATAGACTGTAACTGACCTAAAAAAGGAAAAAAAGGAAAAAAAAAATAAAGAAGAAAAGTGTTGCATTCCTGAAATAACTTATTTTTATGCCCACTTTCACCCTTCACTTAAAGGGCTATGCTTGCTCAACATTAGGTTTGGCATACCTTAGGGCTTTTTCTCAAAGTAGTGTTTGGACACAGATGAAATATAATACCTCAAAATACAGAAGTCAAGTTCAATATTTCATTGAGTTCCTGATCAGGTAGCTGAAACTCGGGATTATCTCAGGTTTCTCAGTGTATGTAAGCAGCGCAAAAATACTTGAGTTGATGCAAAGTAAGGAAGTACAACACTAATAAACTCCTTCCTGGCACTTCACAGGCGTGCACGACTCACTCTGCAAGATGATGAATTCCCCTTTCCAAGAGACAACCTTAGACTAACAAAACTGCATTTTTCAAGTGACTTGGAAAATAAGATGTCCATATAATGTCCAAAGTAAATCAAAGACCACTGCATCGACCCCACAAACTAGTTCTAGATTTTTTTCTCAGACTGACAATATGCAGGAAGTAAAAAAATTCACATTTTTTTTCCCTACTTTGATAAAAGGCAAAGAAATCTCAATAACAGCAACCCTGCTAATCGTTATTATGCTAATAATCCTTCAGAGACAGTGTAAGACTATCAATTAGGGAATAAATTCATAAACACGTATGTCTGAAGCTAAAGCAGAGAATGGTCTCGCAATACCACTTCAGCTCTCTGTGCAGAAGTGAAAGCATTTGTTTAGGATAGGCATGGGGATAGTATCTTTAGAACTTTTACTTCCTCAGTAGCAAGAGTGACTTAAAAAAACTCCAAACTTGTAATGAAAAAAGAGTGCTAGCATGTGACACACAACAGAACTCTAAATGGATGTTGGTCTTATTAAAAGCCAATGAAAAAAGAACATGCTCTAAAGACCCCAGAGACTAAGCCAGACTGATCTTCTGTCACAGCTCACACTAACTGGCTCATGTCTACATCTATGCTTTGAACTGACTTTCCACTACAGTTAAGCAAGCAATTCTGAACAAGTAAAATGGATATACGAACATAACCAATTTTATTCTCATTGTCCTGGGTTATGTTTTTAATTTTAAAGACAACTGAGACACACCTAAAATATTATTTTCTTTAACATAGCAGGAGGTGGGGGCGGTGTAAAACCAAAACCATCTCTGACTACAGTCAAGCAAGCAAGATGACCCCAAAGCCATAAAGTTTACATGCCCACTTCATAAAATGAGTCAGTAAACCACTGCCAGGAAATGGCTTGTTGCATGTAAGCAGAAAAGCACATTTTATGTAAATGATCACCACGCAGACAAAAAATAAAGCAAATAGGAAGACAACAGGCCAGTGAGACATAAAGCACTGTTCAAGGCTTACCTGCAGTCAGTCCAACCAGGCAACTAACCTGGTCTCAAATTGCAGTCCCCAGTTATGGTTATCGGAGGTCAGAGCTCTAACTACACTGTGGAAAATCCCCCTTCTCCTTCAAAACTGAAGTCCTTACTGCTGTTGGTGGCACTTGAGAAACACATCACTAGACTGAGTAACCCTGAGTACTTCTGAAAAAATGTTCAGTACTGTTAAAGGTTAGTACCACGTGACAGATCTTCTAGCACAAAGGACACACTGATCTGAACAGCTTGGCTTTCTACGAAGAACTGGAAAATCGGCTTGCAGCTTAAGAATAAGATTCATGACAGCCAGGGTCTAAAGTAGAGAATGATCTAAAGTTGCAAAGAGGCAACCAGATGACAAGGATGCCACTGCTTCAGAAGTAAGCCTCAACATTTGACGGGTCAGGAAAGGGCAAGAAAGCCATCATATGACTCTGCAATCTAACATCAATAATTTAGACCCTGATTACAAAGATCTTTGTTTTCCTCTATGCTGCAAAGACTATTTTTGTATTTAATGACTGTTTAGTATAAACATGCTACCTAGTAAAATATACAACAAAGTTTTGGGGCAACATCTGGGGGCTAGGTTTGCCACTAATAGTGGCCTGGGGTTTCCTCTCTTCCAGAGAGCCGTGTTCCTTCCCTCAACATTCCAGTTCAGCAAATATTGATTTATTTTCTGCGAAGCTGTCATCACTGCAACTGTGACAAAACACAACCCAGTAGTGCTGCTCCAAAACACACTGCTTGGTAATTTAAGGCCTTATCCTTGAGCATGGAAAATGCAAATCAAATTACTCTCCTGTCTTCCTCAGTCACAGGACAGTACCAAATCTAGATATCCCTAGATATCTTTAAGTTTAAAGCTTATTCCAGATAACAATTCTAAGCTTCAGTTAGTTTTCCTTTAATTCTTTTGGGGGGATACAAAGTGTGAAAAAGCAGGGGTTTAGTTCATCAAATTAGTAGGAAGAAACAACTGGTTTTGTGTGAGGAGGTGGTAAATATTATGACTCGAACTGTGGAAAATTTTAAGTAATGCAGCATTTTGGAAAAATGCTTGTACAGCTATCAACTTTTACTTTGCTGCTATCTATTAATTCTCTCTCAAAAAAAACCCCCAAAAACCAGCTCAACCCTTATCACTGAACCACTACCGGCTGTGATACAAAACCACTGTACCTGACACCAGGCTGTATATGGCTCCATAACATGCCGTAAACGCGAAACCCCCTCTTCCAGTGGAGTTTGTGGATTCTCCACATATTTCGTCTCACGAGCTGGAGAGGAGTAGAGTGACAGCTGTGAATATTAGCAAACAAGAGGTTAAAAACAAAGGTGTAATTGTGTAAGTAGGTCTTCAGGGCATGAACAGTCCAACTAGAGAACATCTAACAGGGTGCTTACTACATAAACAATGCCTAATAAAAATTCAGGCACAGCTGTGAGACAACCATTATGAGCAAAGTTTAATTATATACTATGATGAAGATGACTTGTAATTGCTATGCAATTCATCCATAGCTGCTATATGATCCAAGTCACAGGTTATAAATTAATATTAAGCTAGTTTAATAAGAACAAAAACACAATTGTGAAAAATGTTTCTGGTCTTAATCAGTACTTCTGGTTCCCAGTTAATATATACTAAATGTACAAGAACTCTGAAATGACAATCGATCATTTTCTGTATTTGCACAAGCCCTCATTAAAGAGTCTAAGTAGCTTCTAACAAAGGTAACATCCGATACAAATTGAGCAGGAAAATGGTCCGACATCCTGATGTTGCAGTCATTAACCGCATCAGCAACTGACAGCATTAATAGCACCATGGGGCTGCGCAAATAGGAACTGTAACATCCACCTGAAGAGCAATGGGCATCTTCACATAACAAATACTGTAACACTGTATTTAGGGTTTAGCATCACAACAGATTTATTACAATTACCTAAACGTATTTAAAATTGTATACCATAAAAAAAAAAGGCAAAGTCTGTACTGCTGAAGATGAACAACAAAGTTTAGATCAAGACAAAACCTGCTAAAATTCCTAGCAGTTTATACACTGCACTGATGTTTATTATAAAGTGTTTATATTTTATACCACATTTATACTACATTTAGTAGTATACTATAAACTGATGTTTATACGTACTGTTGCATCAAAGTGTAGCTAGCCCTCTTTTCAAGATAAGTTGGAAGACAACTGTATCTCTATTGTAATAAAAAAGGCTGCTAACCATAACAAAATTTATAATGACATAGAATTTGTCAAAAAATTCAGTAACTCATGCAGCTGGGTTTCCCGTAATAGTCTGAAAGACAAGCATTTGAGGTCTCGTTTCCCTAAGAAATCCAGTCATCTCTGGCAATCATAGTCACATCAGTTAAACTCTGAATATGTTAGACAACATAACCGCCATTTCCAGCACAAGGACAGAAGTCTCCGAGAGAAGGAAATTCCCATACATTTTATGAAACTGGACAGCTGACAGAGCAGAGATCCAAACTAACATACTCTGTGAATGGTAAGAAAGGCAGCCAAAACTCCACGGCTTGCACACTGCTTTGCTGAAGCTGATGGGCAAGCCAATTATTCAGCACATACGTAACGTCAAACTGCTGCCTCCTTGCTGACTCAGGCCAGTGGCGTAGGGCAGGCGACGGCCCAAGCTGAGGTTACTTGACTGGGTGAAGCCAGCAGACTGCTTCCACTAGTCATCCTCTCGCACCGTGCAAGGGAACTGCCCGTGCAGACACTTCCAAAAGACCCACGTACACACAAAAATAAGTTTCATTTAGTTTCACTGCTCATGTAACAACACTTGAGCTTGGGTTGAAGTACTTTAAAAATTTTAAACAACTACAAACTCTCGTGTATATAAAGCTGTATTTAGCTATGAACTACAACTTTGGTTTTTTTAATGTTGGAAACCGTTAAAAGCGTATGCAACAATGTGGTGAGTCTACAGTTTGACAGGGTGTCTTAAAGCTCTACTTGCGATATAACCAAGACATTTGTAACATCTTAGAGAAACAATAAAGTAACAGGTTTTTATTATCCCTACTTATTGTAATTGTTGTTGCTTATGTCTGAATGCTGTCAAGAAATGAAAACTGCTAAAATTCTGTAGGCTACTACATTGGATTCAAAGCATTGCCAGACAAGAATTCTGCCTGTCAATAAAAAAAAAAAAAAAAGACTACTTTTAGAAATAAAAACTTTTTATTTGCTGTTTTATTGGAGAACATAAATGAAATTTTATTAGAATTTGCCAACAGTACTTGTAATAAAAACACATGCTGTTACCTGGATAAAAAGCAAAGAAAATATTCCTGTGGATTTGAAATACGACCACAATTAAATCTACAAACATGAAAAGGTAATATCTGAATGAAGAACAGAAGGTTTTAATGTAGGAAAAAGATCTTGCACACAAGCAAGCCTGATGCGATCAAGCAGAGGGCATCAAATGCAACCCTTGGGTAAAAGGAGCAAAACTGTATTGACCTCTCTATTACTCAAAATTGAGAAGAAAGTTTAAAGGCAAGAATAGAAAAGTGAAGAGATGTACCTAAATGCTTTCACTCATCAAAATACAATGTCTTTCAGAATTCTGCAGAATTTCCATACAGATAGAAGAGCACTAGGGCCCTAACCATACTTACCTCCTCAATTTTCAGCAACTCCTTTTTGGAAGTCTTCTCTGAAGAGGAAGCATAAACCTGGATAGAGAGCAAGCTCAGACTAACAGGGGTGGCCCCCAGACGAATGACCTAGAAACATTATAGGAAGACACGTAAATCATTAAGTTCAAACAAAATGGCAACAAGTTTGAACACATCCATGTCGACAGTGTTTATGTCCCTGTATACAGTAACAAGTGATATATTAAGATGCTCAGAAGTTAGGAGAGAGGGGATTCAGTGGTACACAACCTAATGCTCTCAGGCACTCAAGCGATAACACCTAAATTATTCACATGGTACTTGGAAAAGCATAAGGCTAAAGGAGACACTACATATAAATGATAATCTCATCAGTTTTCATCTCACAAAAAGATCTGCTTTCTCTCACTTGAAACATAACTTTTATTAACTTTCTCAGTATAGATAGTAACAACATTATATTTATATTTTAAAGAACTTTGAGAATGTCCGTATGTCTCCATTTTTCTGTAGTTGGTACCAAGAAGTTCAGCATTTTATTTCTAGTTATTGTCTGCAACTAGATGGGGGGGGGGGTGGGAGGCAAGAGACCTACAGTTGAAAGTATCAGAATGTAACCACTGCTTTCTAAGAATTTTAGGACTGTCTCCTACTTTTCTGTGAGAAACGTGAATTACAGTGCATTGTGACAGATACTTGACTGTTTTTGAATACTTCAGGTTCAAACCAGTCACACAACACACGCACCATAAGCAAGGCGGACATAATTCTCCCTACATTCAGGACCTACACTAAATTGTACTTCTGAACAGAAGAGGCCGCTTTAACTTAAAAAACAGAAGATAAAAATCTTCGCTGTGTAGCAAATCAAGAATGCACGGAAAGCATTTTCCAACAAATGCACACCCTTATTAACAGCAACATTTAACTCAAGAAACAGCAGTTCAAATGGGAAACCTTCCAACATCTCATATTCACGTTACTGCTCAGATAAACACGTGCAGAGTTACGACAGCCTGTGTTCTGTTCTGGCAGGTTACAGGGTGAGTGGATCGAACAGCCTGCGGCCACCGAACTGGAGAAGCCCGGCTCTGCTCACGGCATCGGTTCCCAGAAGTCCTGCTGCTCACCTTGCCCTAGCTTTGGTGGTTGGATGCTTCCACCACGAGGCAATTCACCTCGCCAACTTGGCAAAAGATTAATCCTGAAAAAGAAGCGGAGAGCTTTGTGCGGGCTTAGTGAGTTGAACCCATCCATGAAATAGCCTGACAAGCACCAGAGGAACTGTGTGGCCAGGGAAGAGGAGATGAAAAAAGGAGAAGGCAGCAAGCCCGCTTCCTTTCCAGAAATCATAAGGGTACATCACATTGACCTAGCTGCTTGTGAAACTGAAGCCTTGGTCAAACCAATCCGTCCTTCGTGCTGTTATGAGGATAACTGACCTAGCCACAGGACAATTAACTCTGAAACTTTGTTTCTGCCCATTGCAGACCTGTTAGAAAACAGCTTTAAAATTATCCAGACTACATGCTTATTGTATACAGATCAGCATTTGCAGCTTAAATTTCTTCCACTGCTTTGCAGACGGAATATTTATTAAATGTAACCAAGAGACTCCTCAAGCTCAGAATTAGACTACATAGATGTCAAACTTCCTGACAATGCTCATTTAGGTGTAGAGAAACAGCACACAAGAACTAGGTCATAGGATTGCTTTTCAGAAAGACGTAAGGGATCTGATGGATCAAAAGGTATGGAAAAACTTGCTTAAAATGGAAGTTTTTCCTTATTTGAATTTATGGACTCATTATTACAGCACTATAATGAAACACCACAATGACTGGATCAGCTGTTTCACAGCCAAGGAAAGATATGAATAATCTTTAACAGCATTTGCTTAAACAAAGACTTTTCACATACTTTCATTAGCCAAGATAAAAATGTGAATGCCACTAACCATTAAGAGTTGTAGAATCTATTTCCTCAATCTTTCCTTTTTTCACTGCAAAACTGTTCTGTCACTGAAAAGGCAAAAATCTAAATGCATTTTCATTCTGAAAAATATTTTCAAACAGTGTAAATGGTGCTAAATGCCACCACCAGAAATAGTAAATCCAAATGCTTTAAATATTTGAGATTTTTAGATAAAGATGCAAACAGTGGAGCATAAGAATGGAAGTACCTTGGTTTCACAAACAGATACCAGTCATCACAGAACTACTCAGACCAAAAACATCAACTGTTCTTATTATCAAAACACTGAAGTGCAGACATTTTCCAAAGGTTTCATATTTACATTTTAAACAAACAGAAATTAACCCCTAAAACTGTTAGATGAATCTCTCCTTAAATGCACTGTTCAAGCTATACTGCACTGGTCCTCTACATCAGTTAAGATTGTGGGACAGATACAACCAGTACTAAAGTACCGTATATATCCACACATAGACTAAAAGGTGTATTCGGTAGTATGAAAGATTAACTATTCTACTTTTGGTTTCCAAAGTTCACTTTAGGATCTCATTTCTTAATACCATATTAACTACATATTACTAAAGCAATTGGTTTAGTTAAACATTTTGATTGAACTGTACCTTTAGCCTGCCTTACAGCTATTCAGCTGATACCAAAAAAGTAGGAACTGACATTCTTTTCTCTAGGCAATGCTCTACATTTACTTTAAGTAAAAAAAAATACAGTAAGTTTACTCCTTTCTCTAGCTGAAGAATTCAGCTTTATCTGTAGACACAGATCACTCATCAGCTATTTCTATCTGAAAGTTGGAGGGGAAAAGAGACCATCATATTTCACCTTAGATTGTCTTGCTTTACTGTCTTTCTCAATATTCTTAACTAACAAATGCCTCTGGGAAGAATAAATTCTATATTAAAGATTAACTCAAACTAGAACTTTTTTCCCTCTTGTCTGTGGTTTCTGAGCTCACTTGTTACTGTTATTGCCACCCTGTCAAAACTGGGAAAGGAAGAACAAATGGAAAAAAAAAAAAAATCATTAACCATACTTTTGTGAAGGCTGATATTTGTCCTAATGTACGAAGCTGCATCATTTTTCTCTTCTTTTCCCATTCTTCCTCCTATCCCTCTACCCCAACTAAAAAAAGACAGACCCAAAACCCAAACTCTTAAGCACTCCTGTTCCCTGAGGCACAGCCATCAAGGCCAAGAACCCACCTTCCCTTTTTGCTCTTAGAGGCAAAATATTAGGTTGGCCTGAAGCACTGAAACCTGTCTAACCTCAATGGTTGTACAAAAGCAGTAGTATTATGCATAGTACCTAAACCCTTTAATGACAATTCAGTATCACTTACGGAATTCTCAACGATTCTGAGATAAAATCCTTACATAAGAATTCCAGCAATTGTCCCGACACTAAAGTACAAAAAAAAAAAAGGAAAGAAAAAAGTTGCCACAAGAGTCCCGCAAGCATAGGCCACTCAATATATCAATATATTGATACATTACCAATATTTGATGGAAAAAAGGTACAAAAGAGAACAAATTTCAAGACTCAAGTGTCACGACAATAATTTGATTGAAACAAACAACTGCTTTTAGCCTGAAGGGATCCGGGGCTCTCCTCCTCCTCAGAGGCCAAGGCCTTCCAGACAACCACCGGCCCCAGGCCCGGAGCAGGCAGGCTCCCTCCTCCTCCTCACAGGTCTCGCCGACAGCCCGGGTGCAGTAACGGGAGACTTCCCAGGCGGCACGAACCCAAACTCCTCAGCCACGCTAACCGACAGCTCCACGCTGTGTACCCGAGAAGTCGTTTTAAACAACGAACGCGGCGGTGGTGTGCCCCTGCCTGCGCAACACGGGAAAGGCAATTTCGGAACGGTAACGAGAGAGACGATGCAGCTGCGACCAGCCAGCTCAGAGGTACAGACGACACACCCTGCGTACAGCTGCCTCCAGGTAACACAGATCTTAGAAGTGTTTTAGGTGGAACGTGAAAAAAACATTTGCTGGTAACAACGTCACGGTCCTCGCTACCGCGTCTCGTCAACC